GCTGTTGGTAAATGAAAGAATAATCGGAAATGCTTATTCTCAACAATCAAAGGAAAGGAGGAGGGTTCCTGCAGCAACTTAATAAGGCACGAAATTTGCGCAAATATACATATGTATATAATATGTATGCATGCAAGTATGAATGCTCGAAGGAACGTTTCCGCTAATGTGCACGAATGTACAGATGTATGTAGATATATATATATATATATATATGTATATAAATTATATATTTACAAGTGGTCATAGCTGTAAAAACTACTATTAATCGTAATTAGAATCAGATCCAGCGAAACTGCCAAAAAGGTTTAGGGTTGTACGACTTTCCGATGGCACTAAGCATACTTCTTTATATCGTCCCCTTTCTGTGTTAACCTCGTAACTCCATTTGAATAAATAACCCTAAATATTCATTATTGTGATTGAATGTTTTAGAGACTTCTGATTTATCCCGTATCTATTGTAGAATCTTCGTATCTACGGTAGTATATCTGATCAATAATTGCAAAAATAAGATCCAAGTGGGGCGTGCTGTAAACGAGATCAACAAAACGTTTGGGCTTTGTTACCCAAAAAAATTTTAGTTAATATGCAGATTATCAAGCATTGTTTTTTTTATCAATTGTACACATATTTTAATTAAATATTAATTATATGTTTTATAAAATGACGTCGATGCAGATAGCAAGTGATATGTAGAGAGTGTGATTTTCCACATTTTTAATTTTTAAATGGTCCCTTTTTGGGATTTATGGTGTTTAGACTTCCTACTTTTCGAATGTTTAGAATAATATAGAATAAGTCCCGAGTGACACTTTTATCTAGAGCTATTTGAACTTATCAACATGAACTAAACGGTATTAACTACTAAAATGTCTCTCTATGGCTGGAACTACAACCAATTGTTTTTTAATTAAAAAAAAATTATAAGCAATTGAAATTGAAAAAATAATAAAAAAATAATTAAAAAGTTCGCCTTTTTTTCGTGAAAATGTTTCATTGTAGTTCCGGCCATAGCCGATGTGATACAGAATAAACACCGTTTTAATTTTATTAAGTAAACTACGAATATTTGTTATACAACAAAGAAAAATAGTAGAAGTGACAGCTGTTCCGGAGATCACCACATCTCCTCATCAGACTTCTTATGGCAGGAATCGAACCAACGGATCCTGACTTAATAGGCGAGTGTCCTACCACTGCGCCAAGATCAGCCATATAATCTGTTGTTGTATTATTCAATTCATTATTAACAAACAACTATTAAGTGCGCCAATTTAACCGCTATTTTCTTATCAACTTGGTTAGTGAGTTTGATTTTTACTTTCAGTTGATTTGTTTTACAGTTATCATGTCACTCACCAACAAAAGGGGCGTGTTTCAGCAGCAAATTTTAAAAGCCGCCATTAAAACAAAATCAATTATATATGCGTTTTATATGTCGTATACGTGTAGATAAGTTATCTACAAAAAGTTTGATTTATAAATATAATAATAAACAATTTAATAAATAAAATTGGTTTGAAAAAAACACGTTTTTGGAGGGACCTGACCTTAAGAACATATACCAGTGTGAAATATTCAAAAAATGAATTTTTTCTTTGGCTTATTCGACAGAAATATCCTGTGAAAGTCGTATCCTGATTTCTTTTTGTTAGTGCGTGGGATCTAAATAGCGACGGCTTGCAGATGTAACCGCTGACATCATAGCTAAACAAGTAATTGGCCAATCGACTTCAAATTGATACTGAGTATACTTGAACGAAGACAAGACGAAATATCTCCTGTCATCAAACAAACAGTCATCGCATTCGCGACTTGGCTCCCACGTCACTATTGACTGTCATAGCTTCGAGGTGGTAGTTAATTTCGTCTATCTCGGGACCATCATTAATACCAATAATAACGTCAGCCTTGATATCCAGCGCAGAATCACTCTTGCCACCAGGTGCTACTTTGATCTGAGTAGGCAATTGAAAAGTAAAGTCCTTGATCGGCGAACAAAAACCAAACTCTACTAGTCGCTTGTCATATCCGTACTACTATATGGCACAGAAGGGTGGACGACGTCAAACATCTGTGGAGTCGGCCTTGGGGGTCTTCGAAAGAAAAGTTTTGCCAACGATTTATGGTCCTTTGCGCATTAGCAACGGCGAATACCGCAGGCGATGGAACGACGAGCTGTACCAGCTGTGCAATGATATTGGCATAGTTCAGCAAATGAAGAGACAGTGGCTACGATGGCTAGGTCATATCGTGCAAGTGGATGAAAGCACTCCAGCATTGAGAGTATGCAATTAAGTACACGCTGAAGAAATCAGAGGAAAAGGAAGACCTCGAATCCATGCGAAGGATCAGGTGTAGAGTGAACAGCGAAAAGAAGGTATGAATGCCACGCTAATATTGATTCGCCCATAATCGTGTAAGCGATGCCAATGCCAATTAAGAAGATGAAGACCTATGATCCTACTGATTAATTGAAAATTTGATAATTTGGTATTAAAAAACAAATCGTATGTCACTGTACGAAATACCGTCAACTTCAATATTCTTTATGACTTTTTTTTTGCAGCTACTCCTTCGGCCGGAATCATGTCAGGAGATTTTATTTATGGCGCCTCTGATGACAGCACATAACTCCATTATTTTCCAATATTTTGGCAAAAAAGAAGTCTTAAAATATAGCTGAAAATATATAACAATATCTCCAAGTTCTTTCGAACTGAAAACTAACACAAACTAGTCCTTTTGCAGTTCAATTTATCGTCGCAATTGGGAGCACCCTAGCACAAACTATGCAGAAAGTACACAACATCCGAAAGCAAGACTCCGTTGAATGATCCAAAAAGAGTCGCTAAACAAGTCGAACACGTTTTAGGGAGTTTTACTGTGTTGGCGTCACCACTACAAACACGAAGTTCGAACTGTTTTAAATTACTCGTACTTTGCAAGAAAGCGCACTCATATGGATGCAGAAACGCTTGAATAAGTATATAATTTTTATGTATGTATGTTTGCTGGTGCTTTATTGACCTTAGAATAATAGAATTTTTTCTTCATTTTCTCTCTTCCTTTTACCTTTTACCTTTTCAGTTTTTGTTGTTTTTAGTTCACCGCCATTCTTACTGCGACAAACAGGATAAAGTGAAGAAAGAAGGAACCTTTACTCGTTTACATAAAAAATTTACGCCAGTGCAACAACAACTATAAGTGATCAGCAGTTTATTTACGCTTAGCACGCAAAGGCAAATTTAATATTGTCTTTTTTTTATATTCACATTCTTATTTTTTAGTTAAATATTTTATTTATTTATTTATTTTTTTTGATCTTTTCTCCCTCAACTTTTTGCACTGAAAACGAAAATATATATTTTTTAACTTTATTTTTTTAATTTTGTTTTTTTTTTTCTTACTTTTATTCTGCTTTTTTATTCCAAGTATTTTTATTATGGTTTCTTCACTTTTTTGATTTTTTATTTATTTCATTTTTTCATTTTATATTACTTTTGTATACTCTATTTTACACACTCAGACCCAAAAAAGGGCGAAAAATGCAAATTAAACGGCATTGACGCCAACAACAAATAGCAGCAACAACAAATGCAACGCACACAACGTGTCAGCAGTTGTTGGCGAAAGAAATTACAAAAATATTGTGTGGTTTTTTTAAGTGCAAAAAATTTGTTTGTTTGTAAATAAATAAAAAGAGAAGCACAGAAAAAACACTCAGACGCACGCGCTCACTTTACCGTCACGACTTAACGTTCAAACACTCAGAATCGCACTGAAGCATAACTTGCCGGTGGGACTCACTTCCAGCCACTTAGCGGCAGTCTTAAGGCCAAAGCTGGGGAGGAGTCTATGGGCCGGTTAATAGAGAGTGCGATTTCGAAGTGAGCGAAACGAGTGAGAAGCTTTTATTATCACAACTGCTACCACACAGAGCGTTGGGTGCTCTAAGCACGTGAGCTTACGGGCACATTTACGTTTGTATATTTTGTGGGAGAGTCAGTTTTGCTTTGCAAGCCTCAAGATATGATCGTAGTCAGGGATTCTCAAACTTGCATGCAGATAAGAAGAGCATATGATCGGTGGAAATTTATAAATAAGCAGACTTACGTCTTTCGAATACAAATTTTTTAACGACTTAAGTGACTCCGGCCAATTCAGACATCCGAGGGTACAATAATTCGCATCCAGCTCACTTTTAGACATTTTTTATATGTAGATAATTATCAGATCTACAATTTGCGTCTAACTTACATCTCCTACTATAAAAAAATGTATCTTATTGCAGAACCTTAGATTTCAAAAGATATACTCGCCTTTGTGTCCTTCTACGGCCAATCAAGAAATTGATATCACTTAATTCGGCGGAGCTTGTGACAGAACTAAAGAGGCAGTAGAATCAAGGTTAAACGTCCAAGCTCCGGAAAATTAAACAAAAAGTTTCACAGAGAAAAGTCCTCCCACTTTGTTTTTTTTTTTTTTTGCATCTAAAAACTTAATTCATTCATCACCAGAGGGAGCATTGGCCAGATCAGATTCAAATTCATTGGCAGATATATTGGCAGATAGATTGGGACAAGGCCATCCCATGACATCAAGAGGCAGGTACAAGACTAAATAGATGTATTACAGCAATACTAAACAAAATCTCTGAACACGATGTTTCGTCATCAGGCTTCTGCGAATGGTGTTATTGGAATCCAACAGCCGGCTATTTCAGACAAGTAGCTCAGGCAACCCGGTGAGACCTCTGTAATTCTAACACAATTAAGGCTTATCTCCTACCTTTTCACCTTAATCCCGACGTATCGATCGTGTGCCCAACATGTAATGAGTCCTCCAACCGGTAGAAACTGGATGTATGCATTATAAATTTGTTAAGTACTCTTTTATAACCTGCTAGACTAAGGCCCGAACCCTGGCTTTACTAATTACAGTACGCACTGCTAACCACTCGACTATTGCGATCAAGGTTAAAAACGTTATTAACATAGACTGTAGATTTCAATATCGTGTGTTATTTATTGTATGCTCTATTACACTTAAAATTAATAATTGTTCTTAATGTCTTTAAAACATACACAGAATTCGATAGCTACATATATGTCTATATATATATATATATATATTGGTGTATATATTGTGGAAAGAAGCTAAGCTTTACATATGTAAAAAAAAAAATTAATACACAACACTAACAAAACATTAATGATTTTCGAAAAATACTTTTCAATGCGAACGCGCTATATCCGAGAAGAAATTCAAAATATCTTGTATGTTGAATTCTAAAGTAATCATAGCACCCGCATAGCATTTTTGTATGCGCTCCTCCAAAAAATTATACTGTGCAATAAACTCTTCTTGCATGGCATGCCAAACCACTTGTAGTAGATTCTCTTCTTCGCATAGATGTTTCTCCACTTTTTTGTAGAGATTTTCTAGACCCTTTTTCACCTCACGTGCGGGATATTGACTAATAACTTTACGTAATTCCTGCTTTGAGAAAGCCATTTGGTAGCTGATCTCAGTCTCTTTAACACCCTGCGCAACCTTTTGTTGTACGCCTTCGAAGAAAAGCTGTAAGCAAAATAAAATTGAATTATTTCGACGTTAATACACAAAACTTTCTATAATTACATTTAATTTCTCTAACGGACGTCCAAAATATTGTATGACATATACTTTCAGCGCCTCATTATAACGCATTTTAGCCTCCTTTTTCATTGCCTCCAATCCTGGTACCTTTAGTTGCGCCAATAGCGAATACATGTGGTGGTAGTTTTCCATACGCACTACTTGTGATGGCGTTTTTGGATGTTCTTGTGCATGTACGCTGATACTCTCAAATATAGCATTCACCAATTGGAAATACCATTTCTCCATATCTGTGCGACGATCGGATTTACGGAAAATGCCTTCGGATGTTTGAGCAAAATACTCAAAGTTCTCTACATACGGCAGGATACCGCATTTAGAACGTTTAGGCACTTTGGCATCTTTAATTGACTGCAATTGTTGTTGCATAAAGCGATCAAAATTACGTTTTACTTGAACCAGAGCCGAGGCGAAGGTCATACTAAGGAAGGAATGTGTATCCTGTGCGGACATGACATGCTGCGTTAGGCGAACGAGCACATAGAGTGAATAGCTGTGGGGATGAATGTGTTAAAATGTATTTAATAATATATCATGTGAGGAGAAGTGGATGAACTTACAAGCTATCAATGCGTTCAAAGCTTTGTATAAAGCTAACTAGTTCTGGCTCCAAGCAACCAAATAATGCAATCATCAATTTACGCACATCTTCGTTAATTTGACGATCAATTTTCTTCTGTGGAAAACCTAAAAGAAAAAATAGAACTTATGTATTGAGATAAATATCATTCAGCGAAAAACCTACTACTTCCGTCGCCTCCGCCTCCAACCGACGTTGGTGAAGCTAGAACGCTAACAGAATCAGTGCTTTTTTCTAATACCTCCAGAGTAGTTTGAGTATTCTTCGATGTTGGACTAATAACATCCATTTGGAAAAAGTTTATACAAAACATCTGCTCTTGTAGTGCTACAGGCTCCAATTCTGCCAGCACTTTCTCAAGTACAGAATCGAAACGCTCACGATCTGCGCTTTCAACGCCGGTACCCCATTGGTCGCGAATAACACCCAAGGTACCGTAGGGTGCCGCTGATAGTGCGGCTTTTTTCGATGATGTGGAGGTGTCCAAGTCTTCACGCGATGTACGTAACTTTTCTGATATTTGCGTCTTTGCCTAGAAGTACACTTAGTTGAGGGGAAACTACTGAAATTGAGCTAACTTACCAGGGCAAAAAAGTTTTTAATATCACGTTCATAAATCTTGCTCAACGAAGTTGTGTATACACGTGTTAGACCATCATAAGTCTTGCGATCCATTGCCTTTGTCCAATGCATAAGCTCTGTGTAAGGTGTTAGTTCACGATGTACTGATAAATGATTGGGCAATACGAGCTCTGTACTCGTTGTCATATTATCGCCCATCTCATTACCGAGATGTATGAACAAGTTGTTCATAAAGCGACTCACAATGCCAGAGAACTTTGCTTTCCACTTTTCAAACCGTTTTCGCTGATCTTGCACTGCCTCTAAACGAAGCAGTGTTGGATCGATGTCGCTATTCATTGCCTGTTGTAAACTTTGTGCGGCAGCAATAGCGGCCTTTCTTCCAATAACCGTTTTCAAATCCGGTTCATCCAACGCCTGTTGATGTAGATGAGGTAGATCCAATTGAGACTGAAAATTGTTTTATTATTATAATACTCAATGTACTATAGTTAATCGTAAACCTACAATAACTTTATTGAGCTCCTTCATCAATTTGATATTATTATTGTTCGCGATTTCTATCATTGCATTTTTACCGCCAATCTTTTCCATAGTCTCCTTAACATGTCCCAAAATTTCCTCGTATGAATCCAAACGCCGCTCAAAGCCGTCTGCCTCTGCTATGGCCTTATCAATGTGCTCCATTAAAGATAGCACCTGTTTTTCAGACGCCAATACGCTTTGTATATTTGCCTGAAAAGAATCAAAAATTCGTTTACGCAAATGTGTTATTTTAATGAATGTAAATATCAACCCCATCTAGATCATGTAGTTCCTTGGACAATTTTTCAATTAGTTGTTCTGCGTCCTTTACAGCGAAATCACATTCAGAAAACAATTTTCCCAATTCACTGGCTTCTTTATCAGTAAGCGCTGTAAACTCTTGTGCTTCCTCTTCATCATCTGAGTCTTGAATATTTTTTTGTTCAGCACTACGCGCAGCAGCCAATTTTTCGGGAGATTTTTCATTTAGCCATGCGGCTGGTATATTACGAAATTCCGCTCGCTGTCCCCTCACATACTTATGTATTTGCTTGTACAGCACGGCTAGGAAATTTTGTCGTTCATGTAAATTTAAGGCATACCATTTATATGTTTTTTCAACTTGTATATCAAATTCATGGGTTTCGAACTGCTCATTACGTCCATCCACCCACTTAATCTCTTCCAGTTGCCAGGTACGTTTTTTCTTATACTCGCCTTCTCGTTGTTCCGACTGCTTCACAACACTCACCGTCACCACCGGCACAGGAGGTGGCGTGGTAATAATACATAAATAACAAGCCCTTTTCTTTTTGTATGTCTTTGTCACAGTCACCACAGATAACACACGTTCATCGCTGCTGTTGAAAAGCTCTTTCTGAAGGATGTGTTTTATATTTGCCAATGTAGTAAGCATAATGGACCGAATGCCGATTATGTATAGATAGAGTTATATATTATTAATTTTGTAATTTCATTTGTAAGACAAAGAAATTTAATTATTTTCTCCGACGCCCTCTTTGCAAAATACCAATTGATGACAGCGTTGATTGCCAAAAACAGCTGACTGCTTATGTTGCCAAATTTTTTTCATTAAAGTAGCCTGCCATATCGAGTATCAAATAATTTCATGCTTCGACCAAAGAACGTATATTGATATAAATTAAAATACGTTCTTTGATAAAGGCACTTACTATAAATATTTTAACAAAATTTCGGTTGTTTACCATTTTCACAGCTACGTTCAACAATTTTTTCTATTTCTCATACAACTGGGCATTTGTTTTTGTTTTGATACCCTTTCAAGCGAAATTTCGGTTTCGCTTCAACATATTGCCCCTCCGAACTACGAATTGTGTGAAGAGGACGAGAAACCCTGAAAATGGACCTTCAATTTACTCTCTTTCTGAAAAAGCCAATTTACGAGACCGTCATGCCGCTTCTTATTCATATACGTTCTTTGGAAAGAGTAAGCAATCATGCGATGTGACAACTTCTCCATTTGTAAGTTCACCCTGCATTTTTCGAAGTAGAAGTATCAACTTCGAAAAATAGAACTGTCAAAAGCTCCATATATTTTTCTCGTAGTTTTTTCATCATTGTTAGCAACTGACGTGAGTACAAATTGATTAGATTATACATTCTTCTGATTAATATAAATAAATCTATATTTTTAATCCAGAAGGAGTAAAACGTTGTACAAATATGTTGGTGAAACACATTTTGAAGCAAGGCCTTTTAATTAAAAATGGTAATATTAATGATTGCACAAACATGTAGCACCCAAATAACCTCAGTTGAAATTACATAACCTTTATCGCAATTTTTTTTTAAAGGGTATAAGAAGCCTTAAACATAATTAGCTTAAGCTAGATCAAGGAATGGATATACTCATTTGATTATATTTACAGCTGGCGTTTTATCGCGTGCTGCATACCATGGTGGCCACCATCAACATAGTACATTGGACGATCTGCCCGTGCCAGCTGGTGACTGGAAGGAAAACTATGCCCGCCAGAACGCTAAGTACAATGCTTGGTTAGCCGCTGGAGTTCTCTTCTTGGCTGGTACAATTGGTTTTGTAAGTTTATAATGATTTTTTCTAACTGAACTCGTTAACTTGATTATTTAAAATCTTAACAGGTGAAGACATCCGGTGTAATTGAATTGAACAACAAAGTCCCACAATCCCTGGACTAAGCAGTTATTTAGCCTAATTCTATGTGCTATATGAGCACTTATAGATGTAAAATATAATAAGTGTAAAATGAATGGCAAGGATTTCCCTTAAAATATATTGACCAAAATAATAAAAAGTCAGTGAGGTGAAAAATGTATTCAAATTTTTTATTTTAATATACAGGGCCATCATCAAGATTGTCATCTTCTTCGTTATAAGCTTCCCCATTATCGAAGTAACTGTTACCATAGTCATTTTCATCATCCATCTCTTCATCTGCCGGCGCTTCCTAGTAATGTTCCAGCTAAGTATACAATTCCAAATATAAATTTCTGCATGCTTACCTCTTCCTCCTCTTCGTGCTCAGAATCTGATGAAGCCTTTGCTACATCTTTTTCATCTTCATTGCGTTCTTTTTCTTCAAGTACTTTTAAACGGTCATCAATGTTTTTGGGCTTTTTGGTTACAACTTTATCCCCATCTGCAATGCGACGTTTTTTCTGTGTGATGTGTAATTCTGTGGGCATCATACGCCAGACGAAATCGGCTTTTGATTTCGTTTTAGCATTTTCAACTGCACTCTGTAAAAATAATAAAACTAAAATACACATACAAAAAATTTAAGATAATATACTAACCGCCCATTGATCGGAATAACTCTGTAAATTGCTGTTGATATTGGTTACCTTTGGTGATATGAAGTAGGGAGAATCACGCATGTGATTTATGTACGCTTCTTTCCACAATATTTGGTAACTTTGTGCAGCTGTTGTCTTAAATGAAACATACATATTTATTTTTCTCTAGATATTTTTTTTGAAAGATTGACTTACCTCAAGTTTCACCGGTTTTGACATGAGTGGAGGAAATGTTGGAGGAGGTGCAGTTTGCACTTGTGGTATATCCTTTCCTATACATCCTAGTGTCTGTAGTTGTTCTTGAGTAAGTGAACCGGTTTTACCACGACCTCGGCCTGCCATGATTATTTCAACTCTTAAATAAATAAAATGGTAAAATTATCTTAAAATTAGAATGTAGCAACTTTGAAGTTGAGATCAAAATAAATAAATCGTGTTTAACCTCATAACGTTATTGTTTTGGTTGAAAACAGGGTTGCCAGCTAAGAGTAATAATACCTAGACGTAGTAAGAATTGTCAATCCACTACTAAAAAGTAATACGATTTTTCTACGACATCGTGATTTGTATTGTTAGTGGTCTCAATTACCACGATTTCGTCGTAATTCGCATGAATGAATTACCCACTTTTGATGTAAAAATCTGTATGGCAAATTAAGTAGTTCAGCAAGTAGTTGGAATGCGAATTACGATTGAGAAAGCGAAAAACATAATTCGGGCACCGTGTATGGGAGTTCAGAAAATAGTAAGATGATTTATTCAGTTTTCTTAGTTATTATTATTCGAATATTGTTTAAGATACCAATGTATAAATTACATGCAACTTTGATAAGGTATATAACAATATTAAGTTTATACGTACATATTAACAATTACATCAAGCATCTTGTTCAACGTAAATCGCTATAGCAATATACGCGATTGTAGACTTAAATACATACGAATATAAAATAAATAGAGCTCTTAGTGTACGAAAAAATGAATTTACATTAATTAAATTTAAGTTTACAGTTTGGGGAATTTTTTTTATACATTTAGAAATATTATAATTATAAAAAATATAAGTTAGTTTTCCAGATAAAGTATTTAGAAAAATATCTTGCTTAAAGCTTTATTGCATTTACTATTGGTTATCACCATTTGCTGTGCCTGGAGTGCCATATTCCAGATCATCCGTTTCTGTTAGACCCACTTTTTGCATAAGTTCTGTAAGCTTTTGTGCTTTGCGATCTTCGTTGTGCGCAATCACCGTGCACAAATGTTCAGTGAGCAACTCCTTTTTCTCTGCGGCGTTATGCAAATCTATTTTCGCTTTTAAAAATTGCGCCTCAATTTTTATGTACTGTTTTCTGAAAAATAAAATTACTATGAAAGAAAAATGGTAAAATATTAAATATGCTATATTCATACTCTATTTGGGAAAAATAGATGCAAGCATTATCTATTTGCTTGCGAAGTATTGAAACGTCCAGCGCTAAATCGTTATCTAATTTGGCAAGTTCGTGTTTGATTTCTGCGATTTTTCTAGCCTCCGCTGCTGTTTTTTGTGAACTGAAATTTGAATAAATGATAAATTTCCTTTTATTTAAACATATCTATTCTTAAATATTTACAAACTCATACTCACTGTAATTCTATAGCTTTATGAAGAAGTTCTTTCTTCTGTTTATTTTGCTCCTCGATCAATTTGCGCTGCGTTTCGAATTCTCGCAACGACATACCTTTGAACGGAGAGTCTGTGTTTAATATATCTGATGAAGGCGTAGAAGGTTTTGTCTTCTGTATTGTTGGCAGTATTGAGGAGTCGTCTGCATCATTTACAGATGTGGAAGATACATTGTTATCTCCGACGGGTAGCTTGAGTATTGAAGATTGATCTAAGTCCGAGTTATTCGGACCCGAACCATTCGTTTTCAAATTTGGCTTGCTCATCGGCTGAAAGAAAAGAGCCTCCTCTATGGATTTCGACATACTGCCATCAAGATTAATATTCTCCAATACATCATTTTCTTTTTCAGTCTTGCGACTACTTGTGCTATCCGTTAGTTCTACCGACGGTGTTGATTTAGCCGATTGCGCGCTTTTAATTTCTTTTCTATGAGATTCAGCTGATCTGGACCACTTCTCTGGCATACGTCGAATGCCGCCATGATGGCCACGAAACGCTGGTTTTACTATTTACACAATTTTTAAGCTTTAGTTTTCACATATATACTACTACAACAATACTTACTTGCATCCACTGTTTGTTGGCCTTGATTACTTCTGGTGCTGGTGGTGGTGCTGCCTCCGGAAACCTTCTTAATTTCATCCTGACTAAAACCGTCGAATCTATTCGACATATTTTATTATTTTCTTTTAAATAAATATAAATTAAGTCACTTTATAATATATTTAATTTATTTATTTAATGCAAACAATATAATATAACAATATGATCACAAAAGCAAAAATAAAAACATGAATACTTATCAACCAACACAGATATAAGAAATGTCAAACACATCATCAAACAATTGCTGATCTTCTTTGACCAGTGTTGCCGACAACATTTTTTAGCCGTAGCATGAATAGCCAATTAAGAGTCTATAGGCTCTGGCTCAAAGAAGCTATCTTAATATTACTCATAAAATACAAATCGATCTGGATATCAAAAGGTTTCAGACCTGATAGAGTGCAGAGTAACGACAGAACTCATTTTTAGATGTAAACTAGTAGAACCAGTCACACACTCTTGTGGCTTTCTGTATTTTGTAGAATTTATATTGCAAAAAATGACGAAAACTCTTTATAAAGCATCATATAATACCAATAATAAGTTTTTTAATATATTTCTCGCAAGTCTCGTGTCCGCAGAATTGTAGCATTGCGCAGCGAACATATCTTCACACGATCTATGCCTGACATAAAATAATTTCGTCCAAAAACTGGGAAACAATTTTTCTTTGCGGGTTAAAAGGGGTTGATGATAGAAGTGTGAACTTTTACAGTTATATGTATTTTGTAAACTCACATCATATAGAAATTACAAAAAAAATGTTTTTCGAAGAAAAAAAGAGGAATGAAATTATCACTTAGGGGTGTGAAAAATAGATCTTTTGGCATTCTCAGACCTACTGAATATGCACATAAAATATCATTAAATTCGGTAACACGACAAATTTTATTTGTGGTTTTGCGTCTTGATGTTTTTCCAACAAATATTGTTATATACTAAGCAGCCTCCAAAAGGCTAATAGTTTTTGATGAGCCCTAGTAGATCGAGATAAATCAAATCTCTCATTTTTAAAGATATAAAATAATATATGTATTTACTTTCATTTGTCCAATATATACATAAACATGAAAAGGCTTAGAGTCTATTATATACATACATAACTAGGGAATAACTAATTCATTTTAGGGTCGTTATATTTAATTCCTTTCGTAATTCGTCTAAATTTTGCTCCCATCGCTCCTCCCAATAAACAGCCATAAGAGGTTTCATTTCTCGGCCATTCTTTAAAGCCCAAGGTAAATAATGAGTTGTATATTCCTTTCGTTGCCTAAGATCGTGAGAGAAATTAATTCCAATTAAGTTCACTATGCCGCTACTTACTTAGGACGGAGACGGATGGCACCAAATATTGCACCGCCATAGCACATAGGCAATCCGTTATTCAATGCCTCGACCCATTTGACGGCCACCTCTCCTAGCATATTAGTAGGCATGCCCAACACGGTGTGGACCAAGTCATGACATTCACGATAACGAGTCATCACGTACGCCAACATTGGATCATGAATAAAACGTACCTCCATGCGTGAGTCAGGTGTTACCTTCTGTAAAAGTTAAACTCTTAAGTATACATATATATATGTGTGGCCATATTATTAAGAGCAGCTTTGGTCGCTGCACTTTACATTATCATCTAAGAATTGAACGTAGACATGTCCCAGTGTGTTCTCGGCCAACGAACGAAGACGTTTCAAGTTCACTGTTTGAGTGTTGATACGTGGCTTCTGTGTGAGTATACGTTGACCTTCTTCCGATGCCTGCATCGTTTGCAAAATATTCTGTAGTGTCGCTTCACCGGTGGTTTCGCCCAAAGCGGCGATCATATCGTGTCTGGGAGAAGGAGGAAGGATGTTTAATTACGTTAGAAGAAGACCTTCGGTTAGAATTAAAGTGCAAAATCTGCATAACTATGTATGTATGCAAGCAACACACAACAGCAACAGCTAAGGGGAATAATTTTTTAAGCGAAATCGAATATTTTCATTAATTTATGAAATTTGATACATGTACATACGTGTATGTATGTATGGATATTTTTTTAATCATGCGTATTCAAGTGTACTTTTCCCATATAACTTTTGGTATAATCACCTTCGTGGATCTATAAGCGCTGCTACCGATGAGCCCGCGCCAAGCAATATTTTCTGAAACGGCGTCATTTCTATGCGATTTTTGAGAAACTCTTTGGTGAACTCATCCAATTGGGCGTCATCACTTGGAGGTGGATTGTCGACATTTTCAATATTTGTGGTGGTTTTACTTTCTCTTGTCGTAATGATACACCTATATCCCGATGGGCGCCTTAGGAGTTGTGCTAGCAGACTTGTACGGCCAAGAAGTAGCATTTTCTGAAAAGTGTTAAATATATTTAACTATCATCCAATACTAAAAAAAAAATTAAGTAATTTTCGTAATTAATTCATTCTTTTGTTTTACGGTGTATTTGCCTGTGCGCATATACATACACACGCACAGTATTATTTATGATTGAATCTGTAGATTTCATTCAAAAAAAATTGTTTGCTTGTTTAGATAAGAAATTCTACTGAAACTTGTTTCAAGTACGTATTATACATACAAGCACATACATATGTACGAGGGGAGATCCAAAAACTGAGGAAGGTAAAAACACTGCCAAATGCATGACTACGCCAACTCATTACAGCATAAAGACTAATTCAGCAGACGATTATAGCAGTGTAAACTTCCACTTTTTCAGACTCCACGCCGACCACGCCTCGAACCTGTCGAAACAGTTCCTTCCCTGAGTCCCCCGAGAGATAATAATAAATAAATACTTAAAATTGTATAGCGTGAGATGTCCCTCTGAGGAGGAGATAATTATATCTATAAGTTGAAGTATTAATCACCTTAATTTCGCAGAGTCTACATGGTTGGAAAGGAAATATGTGCTCATTTTAAAAACTGATATTAAAACTCAAAGGAGACGCAAGAGGGCAGTCACAGAAATAAGTTCCAAGTGTCGGTCGAAAAAATTTATTTTATTGGGTAATGGGGATAGGAGAGAATTATTGTACCATTGAAGAAAAGGTGTCGTCATAATTGGTAAGTACAACTCAACCATAAGAAAAATCAGAGATTGACAAGAAAAAATGTCTAATTATTGTTTTATCTACCCTTCGGTATAGATCCAATCTTAAGCGAGTTTTTATTTAAAAAAGTAGAAAATCTAAGGGCAAAGTAACATTCGTTGTTCTTGAGGTACAGTAGAGCGTTCGGTTCGCTGAGGTAAAGGGCGAAACATTATTCAACAGATCCGAATGGGAAAATTAATCTATACATTTTATTATATTTTCATTCTACGAACTTTCAGAGCTCCCCTTTACCTATTGAAGTACAAATTTGTATATGAAAAGATTGATTATTGATTCTCCACATTTATAAGCATACATACAGCATTGGATACATATGTATGAACATGTACATGTTGAAGATAAAACTTTATATTATTTTTGTATTTTTTTTTTTATTTTTCTTATTAATTAATACGCACACCATCTACATATTGTAAAAATTTGCGATATACAAGTACATATACACATTTAAATACATATGTATGTACGTATGGATGTGTATATTATTTGAAGCTGCAAATTGTATTTTTATTTCTCTTTTTGATTTTTTCCAATGTCAAAACTAATTTTTATTTATAACCATTACGAATGATAGCCAAAAGTTTTGCAGCAGCAGCAACAACAACAAAAGTATGATAATTTAATTTGTTCAAGAAATTCTTAAAAACAAAAGACTAAGGGAAACTTAAAAACTGAATTAAACACAGTTACCGTCTGTAGAGTTTTAAAGCCAAACTAAGGGAGCATTCAGAAATCAATGATATTCTCAGACAACCAGTCGACATTACTGACCTTGTTGTTTTGGTTGTTGTTGTTGTAGCCGCAAAATTATTCCCAAAATACTTTTTTGGGAATGTTGCTAGAGTGACAGTTCTTGGCTGGGTAAAAATCCCAGGCGTTCCGTTCAGACTTACGACAAGCATGACTTATCGCGGTAAAATTATTGAGCTCCTACCCCACAGGCGCTATTACTGACCTTGTTGGCTTCAATGGTAAATTTCAGCCACAAATATAGAAAGCTTTTGGGCTCCCAGGCAGGTCAACTCGACTTCTTCACAATCTAAGTTAACGGTAATAAAAAGCTTTTCGGTAACCAAAAAAAAAAACCTAACTGAAAACATCAACGATATCTGTAAGCTTAAGACAGTTTAGGCAATCAACGTTTTTTCTTTAAATTTCCGACCAAAAATCTCCTAAAGACTTAATAATATTTGAAAACAATGAAACTATTTTTATGTTTATACCTTATTATTATTTTTTTTCAAATTTTTTAATTTTATTTACCATAAACAATTTCAAAACATCGACAGTAATTGTGTTTATGGTTTGGATGTGTTTTGATTCCAGCTTAACATAATATTGTAGTTCTGTTCGGTGGGCTGGTGGGCAGTGACAATTGTTACTGAATTTTAGTGAATCGTCTGCGGTGAGGCAAAAAAAAAAAAATTTGTAATGGGAGAGCGCAAGTCTGACGTTTTGTTTGGAGGGTAAGTTGCGAACTCGCAAGAAAACAAAAAAAAATATTTAAAATTAAAATTGTATTAATATTTTTATATTTCTGAATGATATGTTTATCAATAAAAGAAGTGATTTACACTAGAAAGACGGAGACTTAGTGTATACCTAATTGCCCAAAGCAGTTATATTGCGGCCGCGTAGCCGAGTGTTGAGTACTGCCATTCGAAAGGCCCGGGTTCAAATCCTCGTGCGACCAACATACAAAAGTTATTGAAAAGTAATTTAAATAAAAAAGTTAAGTTAAGCTAAATTTTCTAATTGCCGTCGCCCCTTGGCAGGCAGTAGAGGGAGTAGCTTAGTACAAACTGTACGTCCTTCCTTTTTGATGGAAAAAAAACATGAAAAAAAACAGCAAATGTTATCCAAATAGTAATATCGGCAGCTATTTCGATCCCCTGAAAGATCTTTATCAGAGTCGGAACTACTCAACACCCTACATATTTTCCTCATTTTCTCATCGCAATCTTCAGCATCAGATGGCTCATTTTGAATTTATTCCGATTGTTCTTCAAATGATAGTTCCCAATTTGTTACATCTGATTCTATATCGGAACACTCTTCACCTATGTTCCTTGGCTTTTTCAATAACTCTCTTCTATGCGACTTTTCTTTCACGAATTTACAGGTAAAAAGAAATCAAACAAATCAAAGCAGTTGAACAGTTTGCAGGTCCTTTCACTCTCTCAAAGTGTATCGATTACGGTAATTTTATCCTTCTCTCCTGAACTACAGGCAGGCAGGGACAAGTGACGGTAATCATATTATATATATATAATGTTATGAGAAATTTATTACATGATAAAAGTCATTTGACTATTTAAAGTTTTCCAAGTTGCCGAAATAACTGCTCTTAAGCAATGCAGGCATAACACATCCATATATTTACCAGAAATTAAGAGGGAAGGGAAGCAACGAAAATGATAAATAAACTAATTTACATATACATATGGCCCAACATCCAAAATGACAGCATTAGACAATCTAGTGCTAAGGATGTCATTCCGTTTCGCTAACAACGCTTTTAACGAAATGTAAACGTTTCGTTTCGGCGTCCTGTTATCAAAACGAAATAAAATCGTTAACGTTGAAATCGCAGAAGCGCATCGTTACGCTAATTTTAAAATGGTTGTTTTCTGGGGTTTAATAGCACACTTTAATTTTAACGTTTAACAATAACTGTTAACGTTTTATCATTACCGACAGCTTTTTGTTTCGGGTAAAATCTAAAAGAAATTTATTTTCATAAGTGCTTTTATGTTAATATAATATTTCCAAATATTTCAACCGAAACGAAAGATATTTTTCGATTAACCTGAAATTTATCGTTACGATGCAGCCTAGGTTAAGAGTGATTTTATAAAGTTTAACTCAATGATATCATGGATTCGATTAAATAATAATTATACCCTTCACATGGTGGGCATAAAATATTTTTTATATTGTATATGACTGTTCTAAAAAGCAGTGTCCACCAAATGAGCAGTTGTACAATGCGAATGCCTTCTTAAGCTTCCAAAAGTGCACAAAATGAAATGTTAGTCGGATTTAAAGGGAAAAACTCTTGCTTGGAATTTATTTAAACAGAATCGAATAAACTCTAAAGTAATGTTCAGTTAACAGGCTAATATGGAAAAATACTTCCAAACTCATTTTAGTATTTGAAGCATCGTAAGCGTAAATAAGCAGAATTGTCGATTTTGGAGTGAAGATCAGCTAGAAGAATAGCAAGAGCCACCAATGCATCCAGAAAAAGTCACAGTTTGGTGCGGTTTATGGGCTGGTGGTATTATTGGAAATTACTTATTCAAAGATGATACGATTCGTAACATAACTGTGAATGTAGAGCGCTACTGTGAGATGATATGAATTTTTTTTGCCCAAAATGCAAGAGCTTGACTTGCACGACATATGGTTTCAACCCGACGGTGCCATGCCACACAGCACACGTAATAATGGATTTATTGAGAGGCGAGTTCGGGGAATATTTTTTTTCACGTTCGGGACCGGCCAATTGGCCGCGATTTAACGCATTTAGACAATTTTTTGTGTGACCATATTAAATCTAATGTCTATACTGACAAGCCCGTTTCAATTGACGTATTGGAGGACAACATTGAAGCATTTATTCGTGAGATACCGGACGAAATGTTGGAAAGAATATAACAAAATTTGACTAAGCGGATGGACCATTTGAGGCGCAGTCACGGTCAACTTTTGCATGAAATAATCTTCAAAACATTAAATTATATGGGCCATACTATCGATTCGGAATTTTATGTGTTTTGTTTTTGAAAAACTTTCCTATAGATCTTAAAAAATCTCGCTTTATTTACATGGCGCTCTCAGTAGATAGGTTGATATAGATGGAAGGAATTATGTAAGATGGGTAGTTGCAGCATAATTCTTACTGACATTTTTCACCGAACAGACCTATTATTATATATGTATATTTCTATTTGATATTTCTTACGTCATATGTATGTATACATGCATGTATGTATGTACATGAGCTTATACAACACATATAGACACAATACCTTTGATAAAGTACACACACTAATATTTGTTCAGCAGCTTCATCGAGCATTGTGTACTTTACCTTGAAATATTTTATATGGGAATCTCTGAAAAACATTAGCTTTCAATTATTAGTACGTATTTTGAAATATGCATGTACATACATATTTACAAATATTATTATATCATATATTATGAACCAAAATATATTTTTATTTTGGATTTAATGCACATTTCTGCTTTACTGTTATTTTTTATACACATACATATGTGATATATATATATCACTTTTCAAAACTTATTTTCAGTCGCAAATTTTAATGTTCTTATTATTTGTAGTTAATTTTAAGGAAAAAGTTCTTGTAATTAACATTTGTATATAAAGAAAAACTTATTTATTGTATTTATAATATCATCCATTGAAACTGTTTAAAGGTAATGAAACACTGATTTATATAATATTTTTATTTTTGAAAATTTGCAGTGGGTGACATATAAAATGAATGTAACGATATTAAAAAATCGTCATTATTTCATTTCGACCAAAAGGAAAACCAATGCTGTATGTGTCCAGTTTTCTATGTAAAAACATAATAAAAACAGTATCTTAACAATGTACATGCACACGTACATACATTTGTATGTAAGCTTATATGAAGGTAAAAAATGATTCATCACTGTACAGAGAATTTGAAGTCTACTATGAGCACTTGGTGTTTATTTGTATGCGTACTCAAATTCAACGCTTTATGATAATTAAAAAAAGAAAATAATGTTAAAGAAAATAAAAGAAGAATACTGCCGTGTAGCTATTCCAGACCACTTCGATCAGAAGTATTATTTTTTTTTTTTTTTTTTGGGTGCAATGATCGCAATTTATGTGTGCTATAAAATCTAAAAAGTACACACATACAGACTTAGCAGCTTGAAAATTGCTTGTGTATGTGCTTCTGTACAAGTTTATGGAAATGTGCACAGAATCAGCAATAGTGAGTTCAACAACACCAAAGGGAGACGTGTTAACGCATTTTGCAATGAACTCAAAACTGGTATAAAATTGAGAACGGAGAACGAGCTTTTCGGTACTATGACTATTTTCTTAATTCTACATAATTTTCAATCAAAAAAAGGCTTTACATTTTTAAAAACCAAAGAAAGCTCAACAAAATCCCTTACTATCTTTAGATGTTTAAACTTCGTAGATAAACCTCTGCGATGGTATAAGTATACAATTGTCTGAAATGCTGCAGTGTATGTACATATATATCATAGTAACTAGATAAGAAGAAAAAAATTGTGATAAAACAAAAAAATAGCTGTTTCTGATTATGTTTTTGCGATTTGGCGAAACCATGTCATTAGCTTTTTTGACATTGTCTTTTCTTAATATCATATTTAATAAGATAAGATGTACGGATATTTGCATTACATACATATGTATATACATACATATCCAGATAATAAGTTTAGGTATAAAGAAGAAAATTTAGACATACTACGTATGGATATCGGACATATGTACACGAATGTACTTTTGGTTGGGTTGCATCAAGAAAATTTATATACTTACATATATGTATATATGAGTGCCAAAGATGTAATCGTTTAACGATTACTTAATCCTCGCGATGATTAACATATTAAAAACGGAAACTACCTTAAATGGACTAAGGTATTTAATGTTTGTATTTTTGTGAAATGTATGTTTATTTAGTTTCTACGAAACCAACGTAGTTTAATGCAAACAAACATTGTTTTTGTACAAATTTAACATAAGTATACAAATAAACATATTTTTGTTTATTACTGGAAGACGAATAAAGCTGTCGAGACTAATTTTGTATTGTTATGTTTAAAAACTGTTCACATACATATATGTACGTTTGTATGTACGTGCTCATATAGCACAAACAATTTAAAACTAATTGATAAACACGGTCCAAATGTACGAACGAATGTGAAGTTTAACGCTATACTACATAGTTGTTGTGTTCATGTACATATTTAGGTAGTAGTGAAAAGCTAATTATATGCTTATCTCCTAGGTAACTGAGAGTTTTAACTTGACACGTACTTATACATATGTATGTACATATATAAAAAGATGTTTGTTGGCTATAGGCTTGTGTAATGATTTGAAATTAATAAAATTTATGAAGTAAGCAACGTTGATACTTTATGGCTATTAGTAAATAAGAAAGAAAACTCATTTATTTTTCGTTAGAAATAACAAAGAAATTTAGTTTGACTAAAATAAAGAGTTTTATTTATTATATAATTTTTTGTGTTTGGTTTACTTAAAACAATAGCAAAGTTACATACATTGCTCACGGCGGAGCTAGTGACTATGACACTTCTGTTGCATGCAATTTTTTTTATAAACATCCACAAATTATTTGATAACAAATTGCAGCCCACCCTGAAATCGGAACATAAAATTCAATGCTACACATTATGAACGTATAACTATGGCTTTGGCAAATTTTTAAGAACTAAAATTAATGAATTACATGGCTATTTGTGTTTATAAAATATGAAATATCAATACATGCATACATACATTTAATGCCTCGTTCTAGTATGAATGTATTTACTTCGTACATATACTTATTTTATATTTATATTAATATATATATTTTAGTGAATATCTGCTAAAATTTCGAATTTAGCTTCGTTTTCTACTGTTTGTAGTGTCTTCTTTTTCCAAATTAAATCATAAATACATACATATTTATATAAACGTATATTTTACAATAGAAACTTTTTCATTGTATTGAATGACTTATTAGTACAAACTGCACATTAGTTAATAAATATCTACAAGTACAATTTCTTAGACTGCTACACTGCTACTCCTCTCGTTGTTGGTATCAGCAGTTCCTTATCAGGTGCTTGCTTCCGTCTGAATGTTATGTATGTGTATAGTAAACTTGCAAAAACGCTGATATTAATTCCAATACAATTAAGCCATGAGAAAATGTAGTCACCACCGATAAACATCCCAAGATATGTTACACATATGTTCTTTAAGCAGCCAACTATTGTTGTTGTTAGTGCCGAATTATATTGCGTGCATAGCATAGTGCTATACTGTAAAATGAAGCCCATGAAACAACTCATTAAAAATTGTATAACAAAATAGGGATTTTGCCATTGATTGAAAGTTAGTGATTTTTCCAAATCCCCAGTGAAATAAGTAAAAAACAGCGCCGGCATAAACATAAATAGCGAATTGTAGAACATTAAACCATATTTTCCAATTTCTGAAGTATCCAACTTCTTCTTGACATACACACCATTCGATGCAGTCAGCGCATTAGTTATCATTACAAAGGTGTATCCTTTCATATTGAAGGACAGATCATCGGATGCAGCTAGCAATGCCCCAGCAATCATAGCGTAAACGCTAACTTGTACCGTGAATGAAGGTCTCACCCCAAGTATTTTCAATTCCAGTAACATGGTCATTAAAATTGAAAAGCGTCGAAGTGCGGCAAACATTGGCAAACTTAACTCCTTTGTGCCACCTAATCCAAACATCATGTTTCCAAGAAATATTAATGGCAATGGAAAAATTTTCATAAATGTATTTCGTTTTAAAGGTGGGTAAGTAACAAATTTCATTCGTCGACCAAGTCCAAGTACAAAAATACTGGCTGATAACTGTCCGAGGCTGAGAAACAGAAATGATGGAAAATGATAAGATGTAAGAACCGTCTTGTTTACGACGGTTATCATAAATGACGCCATGCCATACATGAGCGCACTGCCGACCTTCTTAAAGAACAATGTGCCATCATCGTGATTGCGCAGTTCCTTCGAATTCAGACTCGTATTACTATCATCACTGCTAGTTGTGGACAGCTCTAGAGTAGTAGAACTTTTGTCCCCAGCACTGTGAGTGGTCATCGCAATAGCAATATAAGCGAAAGTCTGCTGTTTGCAGTTCTCGCTTGATTTTAAAAATCACAGTTCAGTAGTTATTTTACGCACTTTCACTAGTTTCGCCGTTTAATTTTCACATACACATATCGTAATGTTGGATAATTAACGCTTTTTGATAATTATTAGTTAAATTTTTTAGCAGAAATAATCAGATTTAGTTTTAATACACGGCCACAAAAAAAACTCAGTGGCCATTTTGACAGTCGCGATGTGACTGAATTCACAGCTGACAAACAAGGCTAATTGAAGCTGTCAGAAACAACACACATATACGGTAAAATGAATAAGAATTACTTGAATATATTAGGAAATATTATGGTTTGCATAGGATTATGAAAAAATGTAAAAATTTTAATATTTTCTTCTAACTAAACACATACCTTCTTTAGATATATGTAAGTATTTTATTAATGAATACAATTGGAGAAATACCGAGCAATTTATCACAACACACCACAAATCAGCTGTTTGCTTAAAGACTTCTTAAACATGGTTGCATTGGCATATATTACAAATTCCTATTGTTACGATTTTACTAAATCAACCTCGATTATTTTCTAAATCCTTCGGGTACGATCTCTGGATTGTTAAATAAAACTCGCCAACTTAATTTGCAGTTTCTTTTGTTATAAAGAATAAATCTAATGTCCTTTATTTTCTCCGTAATTCACAATTCAATTACAATACACTTTACTATTTACAATCACTAGTATCAACTTTCACAATTTACTCTACTTAAATGTAATCTCCAACGCGTTTACTTTACGACTTTACTGATGTTAACGCCAACGAGTTCACTTTATAACTAACTTAACTTGGCAGCTGAGTGTCCCCTTATATAGCAGTCGGCTGCTCGCAGACGAAAGCGTAGAAGCATCGAATTGTTCGCTATGGAAGGTTCTTGTTTTATCGTTTCTAGAACGTACTAGTTATCGGCTTCTCTCTTTCATCTGACATTCGCCTCGCATTTTCGCAACACTATTTATAAAAGGCTTGTAGTGCTTAAAAACTTTACAACAAATTCTTTTTATCAATGGACTATTGCGGCTGTGATCGAGTCTTGGCTCGAACAGCATCCAAATTTGTAAAAAATTTATCTAAATCAATTTAATTTTTGTAATAGCGGTCGTTCCTCGATGAGGAATGCCAACTATTTCGGATGGATTTATTATTAATAAACATAATATTTCAGATAATGGAGTTTTCAGATAAAGTTGAATTAATGCAAGAAATATTAGAAAGTATTGAAGAAGCCGCTGAGATTGACTCTGATGATAGTGAAAAGGATAAGATTTGTAATTATATTACATTTTGAGAAGAGTTATAAAGCTGATGTTTATTCTAATGTAAAAATATATAAAAGAAGTAGACATATTAAAGCAGTTACTTCTTTTAAGCCAACATAGTGTTTTTATTTTAGGAATATTAAAAAGCGCGGAGAGAACGAAGCATTGTGAGTGTAAAATAAAGCGGAATAAAGAAAAAATTTAAGAAATAAATGTCAAAAACTTACTTGAACAAAGTGTCTCTGTGTGAACGTGAAGGGCGACACAAAAAAACCTCAGTACTTGTAAATGTTGTTACTGCGTACCAGCTCACCGAACAGAGCTAAAGACGCAACCCTATCTTTGAACAGCTGATCATTTTAGTTTTGTAAAGTACAATATATTGAGCTATCGTTTGATTTCTAGTAAAATAAACTGATTTAAATAAAATGCATAATGCAAAGAAGAAAACTAAAACTGGTAAAATACCTAAACCAATTAAGATTAAGAAGGAAAAAACCGAAGAAGATCGTACACTACACTCGATGTCGCACTATGTAGATGACCGGTTAGAATTGGTGAAACAAATCTTTGGATCACTGAAACCAAAAACCATTACAAATCTTGCGCCGGACTTCTTAAAAGTAAATACATTTATTTCTAAGTTTTAATTCTAAACATTTTATTGCGAAAACTTTACTAACAGAAAAAAAGTATGGATGAAATAGAAGAACTTTGTCTGAACGAATTGCTGGGCATATCAACTAAACGTTTACTATCTATAATTAATGCCACTAAATGCCCTACGGATACGGAGTCTTCCAGCGATTCGGATGTGGAACATCAAGAAGGTATTTTTGTAAAGTGATTTTAACAGTTCATAATGGATATCTTGAATCGTAGAGCACATATCTTTGGAGGAAATCTCGTCAGATAGTGAAATTGAAGGCGCCTCTTCCAGTGCGGGTAAGTTAAATGTAACAATTAAAAACGAACAAGATTTAGATAAAATTAAAAATTAAATAAACTCCGGATGGCATATTCATGATAAGAACATATCTTAATCTGCATTAGCAATCACACATTCCTATTTTTTTTTTTAAATAATAACTTATTAATGAACTAATTATTTCTCAATTGTGTTATACTTTTCAAGTATTCATATTTATTACATGAATAATTTTTGTAAATTTACTCGAATTTAATAAGATATACGTATGCAGTAGTTGTTGATCCGTTCAGCCATATTTAAATTTTTCGGCAATGGGCATTGGTGGCAAATAAAAAGCGCGCAGTATAACCACATCTTCACTGCTGCCATATTGAACATCGTCTTCATCTTCTTTACAAACCTCTAACGTAATTATAAAGTCACCCGTTTCTAGTACGCCGCTGCAACGCCCATGTTCTATGCCATATTCTACAGGAGTTAGATTAGCCTCGTTCATTTCCTGGGTGTAGAGTATACCACGCAAATTCCGACGCAAATTCAGTGTCTTTGCTAATTTTAGCTTGCACAGAAACTCCTTTTCATCCGTACTATCCAAAGGTAACATCATTAGTACCGGGCAGTAAATTTCTACGCGTCCTAATGCCACCGCAGCTGTCTCACACTTGCTGTGCATTACAATAGCTTGGCATTCCACTGAGCTAATAGTACGTATTATGAAGTTAACGATACTCTGATATGAGGTGATTATATTTTTTAGAGCCATTGAATTTTCAACAACAGTTTTGTGGAAATCTTTTACTGGCAACAATTTCTTAACAATTAGCGGATATTTATTGCACCAAGTACTCTTTTGTATAAACATTGTATCGATACGCCAAAGAAAGTCGTGATTTTCGAAACGTTTGAAATCGCTGCAACGTTCTAAAGGTATTGTGCCGATGATAGGCTTTTTTAGACATTTTGCCATGGGTATTAAATCATTTAAAATATGACTTTGCAATGAAGCACCGCTGCAAAACATATCTTGTATCCAAACGTAATCGAGTAACTTCACAATTCCCATCAAGTCGAGCATTTTCGAACTAATGAATTCAAGATCAATTGCACCAATTAATTTAAATTCAAACTCGTCCTTTAAATTACGACGTAGAGCTCGTAAAAAAGGTTTGCAGCGAATACGTGGCAAGACAATGAAATCTGCTTTTGATTGTGCTGCCAATTGCAGATCACTCATAAACAGATCAGGAAAGGTTTCATTTGACAATGAATAACACTGATTTGGCAGCTCGATATATTCATAGGAATTAATTATGCCAGCATCTTCAATCAATATCGCTATATTGCTTTTAAGTTTTTTAACAACTTTCCCCTTCACCTCATTACCAATCGCTAGAACATCGTCAAGCTTAAGACTTTTGAAATAATACTTCAAATTCAGAACGAAAGCAATTTCTCGAAAACTGGCATATCGGTAAGCTTTATCCAATGTTAATGTCATAACGTCTCCTCGGTGTAAAAGCACTGAGCAATTATTGCGTAAACGGCCTATACGACAGCAGTCGCCTTGAAATTGTAGCGCCAAGCCAATCGGTATACGAACGCTGGGTTCCTGCTCTTGGAATTCATCGATTATGGTTTTAGTACGTAAAAGTAGCTGTTCGAATTCAAGACGCTTACAAGTCACTGTATCTATGAGAAATGTGCGTGCGCCATTTTTCAATAAACTTTTCAGCTCATCATCGGTTGTCTCCATGACGATTCGGGCCATTAGGCCTAGATTATAGTAGCGACGTTTACAACGTTTCCGTGCGTGTTTTTCATGCTCATCACATGCGCGTTTAAACTCTTCCAAACGCTTCATAAGACTTTGATTATCATTTAAAAGCACGCGGAACTCACGTTCATTGTTTTCTTCTTCCGCACCACCGCCTAAAGAAAGTTCGGCTTGGTGTTCACGGGTTTCCAACGTATATTCCATATTTTATAATAAAAATTATTTTGACTTTGACTTTATAAAAGAATATGTACTTATTTGTGTTTTAGGTAAAAAAAAGACCAACGGATCTGACGGTAAAGGTAATACCAAAAAACACACAAAAGGAACAGCCGAAAAAGAGGAAAGTAAGTATACAAAATAAAGTTCAAATAACCGAAAAAATTCTATTAAAAAATTTACTTAAAATTGCTTTAAAATTTTATGAAAAGTCATGTCATGTACAAAAAACCAATGGAAATAATCGATAAAACTCATTTTCAAGCGCTTACAGTAGGAGACTTATAATGTATCCACTCTTGAAATGAATTTTTGTCAATTTCACTATAATTAAATTAACACCTTCAATTACAGATAATGGCCAAATAAGCGTTTTGGAACTTTTGGAATTGCAAGCACGTGCGCGTGCCATAAGGTCTCAACTCGCACTTGAGCCAGTAACAAAGATCGAAGTGGATTCGGATGCAGAGAAGATTGATGAAAATAAGAGCAGCTCGAAACCGACGAGTGAAACGAACTCAAAAGAGCATAAAGGCAAACGTAGACGTAAGTCCAGCGAGAAAAGTAAAGATATGGACAAGACACAAACAATCGTAAGTAAGGTGGGTAAAGAAACTGTAAGCACCGTAATTGCCGCACGAAGTACATCAAGTTCAAAATCAAAGAAGAAAGATGACTTGTCCCAATCGATTAAAGCAAACAAATTAAAAAGGAATTACCGTGTTAACAACACGGAGACCGACTCAGGATCTGCAGATAACGATAAGAGAACAAGGAACGGTGAACCGAGCGCTACAACGAAGGAGGTGAAGAAAGAGACCAAGTCGCGTTCGCCCACACCGGATGTCATACCAATAATTCCGGAGCCGGAGACCTTATGCATCAGCGATAGCTCGGATGGCGAACCGGAGGGTGCAGGAAAAATTAAAACAACACAAACTGAAGCGAGTAAAAATAGTAATGATAATGGCAAAGAAGAACAGTCTAAAGCTAATGCCATAAGAAAACCTTCGAGAGAACGAAAAATTACTGAGCCAGAAGAAGGTGAAATATGCGACAATCCAGTAGAAGAAAATGAATCAAACGACAAGAATGAGTCTAGTGAGTCGAAAGATTTGTCAGCTAGCACAGAAGAAACGAAGAATGCTACAGAGCCAGTAAGAGCGCAAAAAGATATTATTGAAGCTGGGGTATCAGATGGAGCTGGGGTATCAAATGAGACCGAAAAGACTGGCGTTGGAAAAGAAGAGGAAGACAACTCAAAAGAATCTCTAGCGCCTGTTGCTAAGATAACAGATACAACCATAAGTGTCACGCCAGCTACAGAAAAGCTAACCACAGCGCCTAGTATCGAAGATGAGGACGATGGTAATGATGATGTCATCTCACTTGAAGGTGGTGACCTGGAAGAAGAAATGATTGAACATTTAGAAGAAGATACTAATACAAAATCTTCATTTGCAACTTCTCCAAAAAAGAGTAACGCTGTCGGTGAAGAACAGGATGAAGATGTCATATCTTTGGATTCTAGTGAGGAGGAGGAAGCTGAAAAAACTAACACAGAGGTAAATGATTAAGTGTATATTTATAAAATTATGATATGATTAATTTCATATTCTATTTCATGTTCAGTCATGGCATTCACGCTATTTGAAGAGCTCCAAAGTAAGCAAAGTGCTAGCAACATCACGTTTGGGAAAACGTGTACGCGACAATATAAAGAAATCCAAACGTTCTAAAAAAGATTCGGAGCGTGTTAAAAATGCAGAAGAGAAAGAAAAATCGAATACCAGTTACGCTTCCAAACACGAGGACGGTTCCATTGAGCAATACAAAGAGTTGCTCGCTATGCGACAGCGTAAAAAGTAGCAGTAGCTGATATTGAAAATAATTCTTTAGTATTTAGTTCTATTTTCTCATTACATTAATGCACAAGCCACATCGTTTCACCCGCAATTATGCATAATAATATGAAATCGATTAATTTAATAAAAATTCAGAATGAAAAACTTTGAATTCTCTTTTGCGAGCCCAAACAGTTTGTGTGTATTTGTTGTTATGCATATGTATATATGTGCGTATGGAGTTTTCGTCCCTAACTCTACCGCTACCAAGAGGTAATAGCACAAGAATTATGCCTTAGCAATAAATTTTCTTCAGTTTTGTGATTCTCATTACTTTTGCATTGCTATTTACTAACCACTATAGCTGTTGCTGTTGTTGTAAATAATTTCGCTTTCATGCTGTTATAAGGCAAACTCATTAATATAAATATTTACGTAGGTACATAAATACATATGCCTGTAGCTACAAATTTATTAAAAACTATAAAAGTGAAACGCACAAAAATTTGAATATTCCGTGCCAAGCACAAAATTAAGTGAAATTTAAAAAAATAACAAAAAGAAAATAAAAATACAAACCAACGCAAGTTGTTCTTGCGGAACGATTCCACCGTGTAAAAAGTGTGTATGCGACCGCCTTACAAACAATGTTCGGCAATTTCCGGAATTCATTTAAATAGTATTTGACATAGATGCCAATTAACGGTTAAGAAACCCCCAAGCATTCTGATTGCAGTTTAGGATTAGTCGTTTGAAAGGATAAGGAGTAAAACTTTTTCGAGTTTTTTTTTAGTATTAAGTATATACATACACATATATATGTTTGTATACGTACGTATGTGTGTGGGCATGTTTTTTTAAATGCTGATATAGGTTTTATCTAGCTTTTTCCTTCGGCATTTTGTCCTGCTTTCGGACTTCTTCAATTTCAGTCGCCTCTTACGATATGCGTGCCTTATCTCCAGAAAATTCTTGGATGACTTCCCCGCATCTTAAAGGTATGTTCGCTGCATTTTTATGTAATTTTGAAAGCTTGTGCGACCAGGGCTCGAGTCCATAATATTCGCATAGTAGCATGCACTAACAAAGTGGCATGGGTTGAGTATGTTGGAATTTTAGCTAAGGGCTTTATTCTGCAGTATCCCTAACCTAGCCTTATTCTCCTTCTTTACTGGCGTAGATACCGCCTCGCCGTTATAGCCGAGTTCTGTTTCCATCTCGTAGAAGACCACAAATCTTAAGCAAAACTTTTCTCTGGAAAGCTCCTAACGTCGACTCATCAGATGTTGTCATCATCCATGCTTCCGCACCATACACTGCGACGGGAACGATGGGAGATGTCTTGTAGAGTTTCGTCTTCGTTCGTCGAGAGAGGACTAGCCTTCGGTGAGCATTTCTGCAATAGATGGAAGTTGAACGCCAACTACGGTATCCAGTAAAATAGTTAATGAAGATGTTGATTGACTCCCTATGAATGGCGTTAAAAGCATGTCGTTAACACGTCCAGAGGTTCTGTTAAGTATTACTGCACTGAGTCTGTGTAGTCATGTATGACTCTCCAGACGTGTCTGGTAACAGCTCAGCGCAGGGATCTGCCGAAGTGATCCTTTCGGATGAGCGAACGTCAGCGTCCGAGAAGAGATGATGAAAGGGGTGATATAATAGAATGAATGCAAGAACTTTTTTATTCTTTTGGTTAGTGCTTAGTCCTAACCACTGCCAAAAGGCGTACATATGTATATTCATTTATTCGTATGGTCACCAAGCAAACATTCAAGCAATCATATGAAAACTCATTCCAAATTTGCCGGTCAACAAAACAATCAGCGATACATCCATCGCTCAACACTCGAAGCAATTTCATAGCGCGCAACAGACTATGTCAGTAAACCAACAACAACAATAACAATAACAGCAAACAAAAGAGTAAAAAACGATAGCCGAATTTTTATTTGGATTTGGTAATGGCGTTGTGTTTATCAAAAAAATCTCGCTGATAAAAACCGCACGAGCAAATATCTAATACAGGGTGTTGCTCAACGGCACACACACAAGTACAAATAAACATATATAGACATACATATGTCTATATGCATTTTCTTGCAAGGGTGTCATGTGAGCGCGCAGGCGTACTGAAACAAAGAACGTTTGAGCTTTCGCTCTCTGAGACGACATATTTTTGGGAGGTAAATTTGTTTTGTGTGCTAATGCGATGCTCACTACTTGCGGAGCGTTTAATTTATATATGTATGCATGTAGGTGGTAGGTAGTAGATGTGCAATTAAAAATAATTGCATACTCGTTGTTGTTGCCAATTGAATCGGTATTTGCATGACATATGTACCCACAGAGCGACGACTATAGAAAATGAGTAGATTTTAAACGTTTTTCAATATTTTAGGTGATGCCTAAGCTAACCACTGCCGATTTTGACAGTAATGATAGTTTATAGAGCTCTTCAGGCGGGATTTTGTAAATATTTTTCTTGGACAAATGGGAAAGCATCGAAGGTAGCAAGTTACGTGATCAAGGCTCTAGTCATTTGTTCACTTTGCTGTTCAGGCCCATCTTCGTAAAAATTTTTCAGCGAAGGACTTCTTTTTTCACTGTTTTCACCAGCAGGAACTGTATCCACGGATGGTTGTAGGAGTTGGGGTTTGTTCGTTGAGAGAGAGTTTCTACTCCATGGCATTGGCTTCATCACATGTTCTTCGAACATTGTTTCATAAATCACCTTCTTGGCGCCTTTCTTCCTTGACGTAGATATCACTTAAGCGGGTACAGCTGAATCCTAAGTGTAGTGCTTGTCTTAAATTTAGTACAGACAGTCAGCTCTACAGAGCTAAAACTTTTAAAAGGCCTGCTTTTAAACTCATCATCGCAAATTCTTCTTCTCAACTACTTTTCAAGTTGGTTATAATATCCCACCTCATATTGGCGTTCACTTTAAATTAATGGTTAATCCAATCAATATCCTAATTCTCCCAAATGCCGCTATAATCAAAAGGACAAGCCGGTTTGTTTCATTATGAGGAAAACGTATGTGCGATACTTCCAGGATCGTAATTTCTGAAGGATTTGTAAATATGGTTGTCCATATTTTTTTGCCACAAAAATCGTAATTTTCCAGAAAGAAGAAAGTACATAAGTGACTTTACCTTTTACTTCAGACAACCCCAACTTATTGCGTAAACACCATTAGCCTTACACCTTGGAGTAGAGAGGAGTTTCCGCAGCCAATCTCGGTCAAGGAAGGATCCACAACCCATTACGCGCTCACAGAGTTAGTTAACATACAGATGGCAAGTTTATTAGCATTAAAATTCTTAGCAATTCGGCAGTCATCCGATACCCATATGAGTGATTGCCGTTGGTAGCAGGACTCCTCTTCATCAACAGATATTCCATTCCGTCCGTAGTCTGTTTCTTGATAATTTTTGTCATGCCACCTTCTTCACATTTTAATATTGATTATATTTATTTCATTGACAATATTTTTAATGGCTTCGCTTTCATTAACGTCCTGGTCTCGAGTTGGTTCTTTGCAAAGAAGTGAGCACAGTCGCATCTTCCAGTGAATTCTGCATACCAACCGCAAAATAAATATTATATGTATATTAAAAATAAACAAACCTACACATTTACACACTCACAAGCCACGTCCTTAAGGCCACTTTGGATTGGCAATATTTTTGGTTTTCTGCCGAGAGTGAAAGTAAATTCGACAACAACAAAAGAGGGAGCATGTTGAGCAAACTGAGTGGGGAGAACACCTAATATTCGTTCCGACTGTTGATAGCTATAAACATTAGCCATCCGCTCTTTCTGTAAAACGAAATACTTGTAAAAGGAAATACTAACAAGGGTAGCATGCACTCGTATCAGCAGTACTCACCAATACCAAAACAGAGAGGACGCATACATTGATATCGTGTGGGAGTTGTTTGGAAAAGCTGACTCTCTGAGATATCCTTTAGACCGTGCCGTTGTTGTTGCCGTTGCTTAGTTGGTTGGAGTTACGACGTGGCTGCCTTCGCTTCGGTCCGTCAGCTTGCTGGCTTGACATGCTTCAAGGCGGAAAATTCAAATCAGTCTACAGAAAACGCGTCCGTGAACAGAAGTGGCCGTGTGAGGCTACACTTTGCGCGTGTAATTTTTATCGGTATGATAAATAAGTGAGACACCCTGTAAAAGTTCTGTAAGTTTTGCAAATTAACTGCCAACGTATAGCAAAAAAAAAAAACAATCTCTTGTTCTTCTTCTCCTACTTCTATACTTTGATTTTATTCCTGCTCTCTATGTATTTTGGTTCTATGTAAATGTTGTTGGTGTGTTTGTTATATGTTTTTTTTTTTAATAAAACTTAATTCTAAAATAAATAAATGAAAATAACTAAAGAGAACACAAGTGTGGCAGGAGTTGCAAGATAATATAGTGTAAACTAAAATAAAAATAGCGAATAATTGAAAAAAAAACTAAAAATGGAAATAAACAGCACAAAAAGTGTAAAAATTTTCATAATCTTCATAAAGCTCATGAAAATCGAAGGACAATCAAATTAGAAATACTTACATATGCGTGTGTATGCGTGAAAGGTTATCAGCGCTGACTGGTATTAAAGTCATGAAACATTACCGTAAATTAAAGTGAAGTTGATTTTTTGCAAACAAATCGAACTTTTTCAAGTGCTTCCAGTCAAAAACTTTATGCTTCCAATGAGAACAGCGCAGGTGTTGAGAAAATAAATTGTTAAAAAAATAACATGAAAAATGAAATATATATTAGTAATATTAAAATTTATAAAAAAAATAAACGAAAGTAAAAATATATAAATATTGTTGGTGTTCATTAATAAAAAATTTTTGAAATTAATTTTGTCACCGTGCAGTGAAAATACGATTGACGGCAGCATCAACATTAATTAAAATGAATATACATAATAATATTTTTAATACGATTTTTCTACAACAATTACAAATGAGACTAAGGCATTTTGCCACAGACGTTGTGAGTTCTAAGCCCCATATATACCGTATACGTATACACCTATATATAAATATAGTATGCCAATGTACATATATACGCTTCAAAATTAAAAAAAAAAATATATGTATATACTATCATAAGTATTACGTTTACAGTTTAAAGTGAACTTTTCAAAAATTGGACTTTTAATTGGCAAATAAATTAGTTGCAAAAACTGGTTACTAAAAAAAGAGAAGAAAATAAAAACATTATTGACTGCTAAAGGCTTAAAGATTGTTAAAAAATGATTGAAATAATATTAAAAAAAATTGGAGTTTTAATAAAACAAAAGTTTTTTTGTAAAAAAATTTACAATTACTTTTCTTTTTTAAAACAATTTACTATTATAACACAATTTGTATATTTCTGAAATTGAATTTTTTTGTAAATTTTCTTTTATGAATTTTCTAATAATTAAATAGAAATGCATTTGCTTATTATAAATATGGTAAATATTAATATTATTTATTATTTATCTATTTTAGTTTATAATTTAAACCTAAATGTTTACATAAATTAATATGCATGTTTATACGCTGAATTTTACACATGTTTTACATTTAGAAATAACTCTTTTTACTTATAAAAGATTTGTTCTACGGAAAACGAGACTAATTATTAACAAATAATTTTTAATCTATTACAATTCATTCATTTTATACAGTTGTTCAATATTTTTATATATTTCTTAAAGACTATTTGGGTATGTCTTTATGCTTTTGGCACTTTCATGAATAAATTAAAAATCCAAGGATAAAGTTTTTCGACAATGAATCGACCAGTTAGTCGACATACCTTGGTAATAATGTCAAATGTTAAATATGAATTAACTTTAGCGAGATGGTTTCCTAATTGGCTCCGTACTTTTCTCTATGCTTTGTTCCAGGAAATTAATTATTTTTTCTAATAAATTCAGGAACTTTTTGAACCTTCTTCTCAACTATTCGGCACCCATGGAATCTGTGAATGTTTCCGTAAAACTTTTACCAAATTTAAAAATTAAATATTAACACCAGCAGAAATGATACTTTAGACGGTCTACGTTTCTCTGAAATATACCTTGTCCCTGTGCAATCCTAGAACATTTGACTTGGATAATAAGACTTCGAAACTGTTTTCATTGACGGTGTATTTGGTGATCTTCTGAGATTTTTTGTTTAATGTTTGAATCTTAAATACACCGAAATCTTTTGTTGAAATAATCTTAAGCTTGTTGAGAATTTTATATACAATAAAGAAAATAATATAATTTTACTTTCGGATCAATTTTAGAGTCTAAGATATTTTAATTATTCTCTGCATATAAATAAGAGGCAGTTGCTAGACAATATCCAAAAGCCAAGAGAATTCAGTTATTGTATGCAAGTCAGTTGTTGGTTCTAGTACCGACAAAGGTGACTTCCTACTTGCGCTTGAAAACATTTACGAGAAACACGATATTTTTCGAAAAGCTTGAATATATATGTATACATAATTTCCGCTCTGTAACCGCTGCAGCGATTTTCTGCCGAGCTCCTCCTCCATTTTGTGGTTTTTGCGTCTTGATAAAGCCGCTTCCGAACGGCTGATGGTTTTTATGACATTCCCCACCGAGGGGCGACCGCAATTAGAAAATTTAACTTAATCTTTTATTTAAATTAATTTTCTATAACTTTTGGATGTTTTGGCTAACAAGGATCACGTGTTGGGGGAACATTTTTTTTTGCAGTAATTCGGGATAGGGTTTGATTCGCTCTTTTTTATTGTAAAATATTTGGCTATAGAGATGAGTCTTAGGTTTTGGTGTTTTACAATGTGAATTGGTCCACAAAAATAATGTAGTAGATTGCAATAAGAAGCTTATAAAAAGAAATACAAGAAATATATAATATGTTTTTGAATGAATATTGGAAAGTTATCTGAGAGAGCGCTTCTGAGAGCTACTTTTCTTGCTTAACTTACGAATACACTTTGCGTGACGTCTCCAGTTTATTCTCGAAGTCTAGCGCGTGTAAATAATTGTATATTTAAAACATTTTTAATATGAAGACAACACATTATTTTATGAAAACATTTTGAAAACGGCTAGCCTAAAATTATACCACGAAAATCGAGTTTTTGTTGCTATCAAAGCACAATATTGAAGCGAAGTGGAGTGGAGGCAAAAATTACTATTCAAATCAAGATATTTCAAATCATAACTAAATTTAAAGCGAAAGCTGAGTTGAGTTGATGCCAAAAGGACCATTGTGATACCGCTGAGGCTCCTGCCTTCACCTTCTCACGAACCATTCGTGTGCCTTATAAAGGTAACGAGATTTCCAATGTCCTCAGTGAGCATCAGCGAGACAGTCGAAGAAGTGTTTCCCAAGAAGCTTGTGTCGCGTGTATGTCAAGGCTGAACAGTGGCAGAGGTAGTGCTCAATGGTCTCCCCTCTTCTTCGTCCCTACAGCCGCGGCAAAAATCATTAGAATTAAAGCCCATCCTAGTCCCGTGAAGACCCATTAAACAGTATCCAGTTATTATACCAGTCCTTATGTTAATAGAGAACCGGTCCAGAAGGATAAGAAGTAAAAAGTTGATACAGCTAATCCTTTTAATGCAAATTAAAAACTGTCGGTGTTTGTCACATATGCTTAATAGTCATAAAAAATTAAAAGAATGTCTAAAATTTTAGTTTTGTTAAATTTATTTTAAATTAATTTAATTCATTTTTACAATTCGTGAGCTGAATAATACATTTAGTGATAATATGTAATCTAGCACTCGTCTAATATTTGCTTCAATAAGTAAGGGATCTGGCGTCAGTACAATAAAGGCTGCGGCTTTTTCATTGTTAGATGACATAAAATAAATATTTATAACACTTTTCATACTTACTAATAATTTCATATGCACAATTACAAAAAACACCAAATTTTCTGATGAAATAATCACATAATCAATTCAATATTTAATAAATATATAAATATACCAATATATCAATATTACTAAAATACGATCGTCCCTAAATTTCAATACATTTCTGTATGTATTAAATCAAGCTAAAGCCTTATCCAATTTATGGCGACTGTACTTAAAATATATATAACGGTGTTTATTAAAAATTGTCATTTCACGATTCGTTCACATACGCCATTTATCATATGCATTTGTATGTATACGTAAGCGGGTATCTCATTTCAATTGCTGCTATCAAAAATAATAAAAAATTGCGATAAAAAATATTTTTATAAATAAATTTCATATTGGAAGTTTATGAGAAAAATTCTTTGAAATCACACACACTCACAAATACTTACTTACTTACACACGCACAAAAGAGTATTAAAATTTGCACTAATAAAACTGCAATACATACATACGTATATTCATCCACCCCCAACTTACGTGCTTGCCGAGCTGTTGTTGCAGCGTTGGGAGTGAGGGTGACCAAAGAGCTGTCGCTATCTGCTTGAATGTATGTACAAATATGTACATATATGTGGCTGTGTTGGTAATGGAGTTGGTTTAATATTTGACAGTTGAGTGTACAAAGTGCGATTGGAAATCATAGGTTATCAACTAAATAACTGCTTTTCGGCTTTTCAAACTGCGTTCATGGCTGTTGGCCAGACTCATTCCCCGATCGACTGCTGTCTGACTGCCTATAAAAGATTAAATAATTTTAATACCGCTGCCAAGTAAAATATTATGAGTACAAAGAGCTTAATATTAAAGCTAACGATGGTGCATAATAAAATCACACACATACATATATGTACATACGTAGATAAGCATTAGTATGTATGTGTAAGCATGTGTGCGTTCGGCTAAATTTTTATAGATATGCTTATTGGGGGCTCAAAAATGGTATCGAATAAAAATGGCATTTTCATAAAAAAATCAATAAATATCTACTACACATACTATTACGTACATATGGTTGTGTAAATTTATAAATGCAAGTTTATGTGCTTTAAGGAGGTTCCATTTTTAATTGTATTTTGATTTTGGTTAAGAATATATTGGTTAATTTATGAAAAAATTATTTTTCAAATTTCACCGGTGAAAACTGTAGACAATAAAACCGCCCTCTTACTCAGGTTTATTTGAATATATATATATAATTGGCGCTTTGTAACCGCTGAAGCGATTTTCGGCCGAGCTCCTCCTACAATTTGTGGTTTTGCGTCTTGATATTTTTCCAACAAATGAAGAGACCTAAGCCACCTCCGAACGGCTGATGTTTTTTTTTATACGAGGAACCTTTTTTCACGTCCGAAATACACTCGGAAGGGTGGACATTCCCTGCCGAGGGGCGACCGCATTTAAAAAATTTAACTTAATTTTTTATTTAAATTAATTTTCTATAACTTTTTGGTTGTTGATCGCACGGGGATATGAACCCGAAAATGTTTAGTTTGTATATGGTGTGTCAGCTATTTTAAACTCGAGTCGATTAAAATCAGATTTTCTTCATAAATCGAATAAGGAATAAAATGTATAAGGCTTACATTGGTTAAGTAAAATACTCTGTTTTTACAAATTGTAATTCCAGTATTTTTTTATGAGAATTTCAGCAACGATTTCTGTTTGAGAAAGAGCGTCTTTCTCACAATATTTATTTTAGATCATAATGCATTTTATAATTACACAACAATATAACCACTAAAGTAAAAATGTTTGAGAGCTTTCTCGAGAGCGGTATAGCATAATTAGCGCTTTGTGATCGCTCAACCGTTTTTCGGCCGGGCTCCTGCTCCAATAGGCTGCTCGATGTTTTGCCAACAAATGGAGGGATCTATAGCTTGGTCTAAGCCGCCTACCAACGGACGTTAGATTTTTAAGAGCGTTTAGTTCGTGTAAGAGATATACTCGTACGACTAGACATTCCATACAGAGGGGCGACGACAATACGAAAAATTCATATTTTTATAATTTTAGTTGTTGGTCAAAGCATGACTCGAACCCTGGCCTATGTACAGGCAGTTCGCAATGGTAACCACTCGCCAAAGGGCGT